GCACCGGGATGAAAATGACGTCACACTACGGAACCTGTGACCGGTGCTCTGTGCGTATATGTTAAAATATCCTGACAAACGTTTTCGAGCGTTCCAATCGCTCTTCTTCAGGTCAACTGAAAGAATTCCCCGGACGGAGTGTATATTATTCTCTAGGATCGGGTGTCGGTTTCGAGGGGGTGGGTCTCTTCCGGTGTGTGCGGTCGTGCGGCGGGGGGAGGAAGCGGTGGGTTGGCGTCCAATAGCGATTGCCAGGCCAGAGACAAGGTTAGTTCCTCTTTCCGGTTAATGCAGGTAGTTAGCCGTTGGGCTAACTACAGGATGCATAAGTGGCTAGGGCTATGGTCAGCCTGCCGTGCCGGATATCCGCTTGGTGTTCACGTAGGCGGGTGCTTAAAGAGCGTTTGGTTGAGCCGATGTACAGTAGCTCTGCGTTTTGTCTATTGTCATGGAGCGGGATAGAGTAGATACCGGGGAGTCTGGTGCGATCAAGAGGGTCTTTATCGTTTCTTAGGATGTGGAAAATCGTGGGGCATCTTCTGTATGCCAGTCGAATCCCATGCTCTTTGGCTATTCTTCTATGTATAGTCTTGAGGTGCGGATTGTATGTGATGGGGATCCGTGTCGGGTTATCCCGTTGCGGGTCGGCGGCGGTCGCTGCGGTTAGGGTGCGTTTCCGGTGCTGGTACTGCTCAATTAAGCGGTGCGTTATGTTCGGGAAGCCGTGTACAGTTGCTATTTTTTTGATGCGGTCTAATTCATTCGTCAGGGCTTGCTTGGTGGATGAGTGTGAGAACGCCCTCTCCACAAGAGCTCTAAATGCGGCTGCCTTGTATGCGAACGGGTCACAGGAACCAGCTGGTATGTACGTGGGGGTGGACGAGGGCTTGTGGTATACGGCTGTTTGGATGGTGGGTCCTACTATCTTTATTCCGATGTCGAGGAAATGTACTTCCTCTGCGCTAGCTTGTTCCAGCTCGACCGTCAGGCCGAAGGGGTTGTCGTTGACGNTCCCCAAATATGCATAGAGAGCAATAATGATGTTCTAGAGATGAAGATTAGATTGCTTGAATAAAGTTGTCTATATTTGTGGGATTTCAAGAGTTGTTGTGTTGCACGGTGTTAAAGCCAATATGTAGAGGTTCTCCCAAATAAATAATTCTTTCCTGCAGAAACTATTCTATCCACAGCACCGGGATGAAAATGATGTCACGAACTATGAATTTCTATATTGCAATTTCTTTTTTAAGTTGAATTTTCATGCCAAAGGTAACCCTTCTGCATATCTGATATTAATGCAACCATCAATTAATTTGCTTTTATAAATTTTAATTTTTTTCCTCACTGCCAATGTAGAAGAATGTAGTGCTCTATGATATTAGCCTCACTCCATTTGACTGTAGTCTCTTCTAGTTGTGCCATCTTGGACAATATCCTTTTTCAATGTTATATATATGCTCTTTCTGGAAAACAACCGAGTTCCTTTTTGCGACACCAATTTGATCTTTTTTTATTCCTAATTGCTGGTTCTCAAATGGTATTTTGTATTTGCTTGCCTTTTCTTCTTTTCTTAGTTTATCTTTGTCATTTCTTAACATATGTGTTTGGAGCTCTTTTGAAAACTGAGTGTTTTATGCTACTTATTTGATAACATTCTTAATATGCTTATTGTAAGTAAACTTGGTGATGCTACTTTTGAGTCCTTTCTCTGCTTTCTTCATACCTTTTAATTAACCCTTCTATTGTACTTGCCATATCCCAATGTTGTAGCTGTTTTCTTGATCCTGTTGAGTTATTTGTCTCTCTCAAGTAGACTCGAGCAATATAAATCTTCTAATAAGTGCTTGAAAAGTGAATGTTTATATTTGTATAGTATGTTTGAGCCAGCCAAAGTGAGTAGTGAGTTCAATGTCTATTTCCAAAAAATGGATCGTCCTGGAACTTCTTTGCTCTAGTCTTAGGTTCAATCTAACTGTTGTTACTGTTAACAGTAACATGTAAATCGATGTATGGATTTACATGTATGGATTGAAAGCTTATTAATCCAACAGCTGTTCTGGATATTAAATTATTTAATCAACTTTAAAATGTTATAAATATGAAATTTTTGTTTGAGATGAAATGTTACTATATATGCTGTGTAACAAGATACTTATTTTAAACATTGCTTTTATATAAAATCTATAACTTTTATTCTCTGTAAGAATAAACAAAATGAATAATAACTGATGTACAAAAATATAATCTTTGTATAAATGATATACCTGATATCTATTTCCTAATCATAAAAATGATGTTTAATTATAATTTAAACTCATCAATATTATTGAATCTTCCTAAATTAAATAATTGATTAGGTAGGAAGACCTTCATTTCAATTTAAAAGGATAACTGGGACAGACTATATACATATATACTGCTTTCAAGAACAGCAATTCCTGGAAGCAATGTATACGTATTTTTTTATTTGTGTCTAACACAAAGAACAAGAATGAACAATTCAAATTATATACTATTTTAATGCTTTATGTTTAAGCTAAAAGCTATTACCACTGAGCAGTTTTGTAATATTTAACGTTACTGTTAATGTAAATTTATAAAGAAAACCATAATGCCTTTAAAGACTTTAAAATATGAAGTTTTTCTAATCAGTTTATAGAAATAATGAAATATTTATTTAAAAAAAATTATGTAACGTTTTATAGTTGTATCAGTAAAGTCGCATTTGATGCAAGTACTTCTACACATTTTACAGAAATCAATACTAAAGGTCACTCACTATAACATAAACATAGAAAGTGGTATCATTTATGAATGGTAATATGTAGATATTTACATGAAACATTTTTGGCTTATTAATTCTGTGAAAATAGTTATTTTATTATTATGGAAAAGTCATTTTTTAAAATGTTTAATTGCATTACTTAAAATTCTGAATAGATAGCAATCATTTTTAACTTTTTATTTACTTTTGTTTATATAAAATGAACTTGGTATTTTTTATAATATTTTCAATTGTTCAGTTTTAAATAATATGAGAATGTTTTATACTCAAATATGTTGATAGCAATGATTTTGTTTCCTTTAAATAAATTCATAAAAATTATTTTAAAATCTGTAACATACATCTTATTTTTGAGAATTTATACAATAGTGTTTTAAATTATCATAAAATTATTTTAAATAGTTAAGAAATTTGTTTAAATGATTACTTTTCTAAGTAGTTAGTTATTACTCAGATTTAAATCAATCATGTAGACATTTTTTGATTGACATCTGAATTTATTTAAATATTATTTGCATATATATATACGTAATGCCTTTTTAGTTTTATCATATAAACTGTCATTTTTATTTTAAGAGTTATATTTGAATGAGATATAACTTAATGTCTTCAACGATGTGTACTTGAGTATTTCATCTGAGATTTACCAATGGATAACTTATCAAGTGATGAAAATGGTATTTATGATAACTTTTTAAAATATCTTACTGGTAAAAAAGTTAATTAATATATTTTTAAAATTCAATATAATTTTTATTTTAAGCTGAAAGTGTAAATTCTTGCCTGAAACCTTGTTCGATTTGTGGCAGGACATTTCGGCCCGATGCTCTGGTAAAACTTCTTTTAAAATTCTTCTTTTTATTCTGTTAAAATTACAATAATAATTTTATTGAAATAATTGAAATAAATACAATTATAATTAATTGAAAATCAAATTTTTATATAGTTTTAATTTACAAACAAATATGATTATTTTCTTGTTGATTAGTTAAAGATAAATAATTTACAATTTTAAAACAAAGATAAATGTATAATTTATTTATTAACCACCCATTGAGAATTAGAGAAATTATTTCAAATCTGATATAACAACTTTAGTTGTGTTTTTTTTAGGAACGTCACGAAGGAATTTGTAAAAAGACATCATTAAAAAAAAGAAAGGTATTTGATTCTTCAAAACAAAGAGCTGAGGGGACAGAAATAAAATCAGTTCCTACTACCACTAACGTTAAGGTAAACAGCGACTCTACAACACTGGTTANTTTTTATTCGAATTCTCTTCAAGGATGTTCGACCATTAACCTTAGTAATTTAATGATCGAATTAATAGATTTAGGAAATATTTTTAAAATACAAGTATAAAGTAATAAATTTTTGCTGTTCATAAAATGGATAAAGTTAGTTATTTTAAATACACTCTTCTCGAACTGCACTTTCAAAATAACTACACTTAACCAACCTTTAATATGCAGTCTATTTTATTAACGTAATCTAACATTTTTGGTCAATTAATTGATCATCAGGATCAAACAATTTTTTGATTTATGACAAACGAAATCTGTTGGTAAAATGTAGTTTTTTTAAATTGCATTTAGGTAATTATTTACTTGATTATAAAATCCAGAAAAGTTAGCAAGGGCTCTTGCATGCCTTCCTGGGAGGTTAAGAGAACCTGGAAGGAAGTCCAATAATTTTCAATTATAATTTCTAAAAATTAGAAAATAAAGGTAAAAGCCTTATTTTATGGGTAGGGGTGAGATTTTTAAAAAATTGTAAATGCCAATAATGAGTAAAATTTTTTCATTAAGTCTGACCCTACTCAAGATATAATCCTATCCCCTCTATCTCTTTCTTACTTATAACCACCAAAATATAATAATGTCAATTCAATACCATATATATATAGAAGTATTCCTAATTCCTATCAAATTTTAAAATTTTTTGACCCTGAGGTCCTGAAATATAAAGCAAAAGAGGAAAATATGGACCAACACATACAGAATTTTGTTCTCTGTTTTTTGTTTTTTAATGCTTTTGGAATTGGGAATAAAACATCAAGAAATTCAAAAAACAGAGGGTCAGAATTTGACTAATTACAATAATTTCCCTCTGTTACTTTAACAGCTAAGAAAGTAAAATTTTAAACTGTCATTAAGCTTCATTAAAAAGTTATATTGTTTGCTTGTTATATTTCTGTGATATCTTTGAATTTTTTGTCATATAGATTATATTGAATGTCCAAGCTGTAATAGGCACTTTAATCAAAAAGCAGCAGAAAGACATATTTCCTGGTGTCAATCACAGTCTAATATTCCAAAAAGTTCTGTTAGTAAAGAAGCAAAGGAAAGATTACAAGCAAGAACTAAAGTAAGAACACTTTTATTCATTGGTATTATTATTTAGTTTCAATAATAAAATTTAACATTAACAATGTAACCTTTTAATCAAAGTTTGTAAAGCAATTTTAATACATAAACTTTCATGATACTGAACTTGATTTTTAGATGCGTAACTGTGATTTGTGAGTATTCTCAATGTACAAGAATTTTATACAAAAAATCTTTTTTTTTTATATTTCTTCTCTTAATGAAATGAAACACTCAATACAATATGTGCCAACTGACATTTGTAACAAAATGTATTAATCGTGAGTGTAATGAGATTAAAATTCCTGTGCACTCCAATTAGATTGTTCATAGATTTCAGTTTCCATTTTCTTTGTTTCTTTTATGTCGTGTCTTCTCAGAACAACAGGCACCATCACTCATATCTAACAAAGATTTGTGATGAAACCAACTTTTCTATAACATAAACATCTTTTCTATTGGTGATTACAGTTTCAAAAAGTAAAATAAAATTATTTTTTAATTAATTTTGCTTGTTTTATCACCTATAAATAAACATGCGAGAATTTACCTATTTGTTTCTCTTACATCATATTCATTTTTCTCATTCCACATTAAGTTATTCATAGATATAATAGGAACTAATGAACACTTCATTTAGAGTTATTCGTTGATAGGTAAATATTATTTTATTAATATTAATGTTTGAGCATTAGTAGGGTGGCTGAGTTAGCTCAAACTTGGTATAAATTCTTGCTATAAGAAAGAATGGAAAAACTCATTCTAATTTATGAGAGGTAATGAAGAACCAGATCAGCTTGTAAATTTGGATTACATTTTATGTGTCTTTGGATATATGATATCACTTTAAGTTTTCGAATTGTTGTTTACTAGTGTTCACTTTTGGTATTCTTGAATAAATAAGAAAATGTTCACCAAAAGTCTGCTGAGATTATTGCATAATTTTTGTCTTAACTCTTAGTATTGGCCACAAATGCAAGTGTTTGCTGCGGTTGGCAACACTGCACTTGACCATCATTCCTATCCTATGTGACATCAGACTGAGGTTAACCTTGTGGCACCCATCAGCAATGTGCCAATTCAGACAGATAGAGGGTGCAGGAAAGAAGAGAAAAGCGAACTTTGAACTGGACACTCACTTTTGGACCAACAACTACCAAGATCGGACGTTTGAACAAGCAACCAACACAACCTTTGATCAATGTTGAACTGTAAAAACATTATACATATATTGTACATTACCATATATATATGTAACTAGCTGTTACCTGCAACTTCTCCCGTGCAGATTTTGCGAACAAACCCCATTTATATTCCGTATATCAACAACCATAGTAATTGTTATATAACACCTACCACTGAGAATGATGAGAATTGCTGAGAATCAAACAAGCTGTTTTCAATTTGATCAATTTATAGAACATTTACAATCATTCTATAATTGAACCAATATGCAATAACAAATTCAAATTTAAAACGGTTCGAACATTTGGTTAAAAAATCGAAATGTATAAAAATATAACAATGTCTGAAATGTTATTAATTTAATACTTAAGTACTTAATGAAAAATGAATGTTGTTAAAAACAAAAAAAAAATCGCATCTAAAATAGTAGAGTAGAAGCCATTCTTTCGGTTAAGCCTTAATGCTCTCTCTCTCCCCCCGCAAGGGAATTTCGAAAAATCCCTTCTTAGTGTGCATTTTCACGACATACCCTAACTGTGTACCAAATTTTACCTCTTTAGGTTCAGTGGTTTGCTCTGGGTGGTGATGAATCAATCACTGTCAGGACAAGTAATTTTATATATTTAGATAAAAGTAATGTACACTTCACACCTACTCTTTACTGTATAATGTAATTGAATATATGTGTTGTGGCATTGCCAATGGTGAATTTGAAGTATAAATGAGTTCACAAGTACTTTCGATAGCATAAAGCTAGCATCGTCAGGTGAATGTTGAATACAACAGTTTTCAAATTCTGAGCTTTCAAATAACTTATGAAAATATATGAAGCATGTGGATGGAATACCAATATGAATTTGAAATAGAATAAGAATTCAAAAATAAAAAAATATTTTTTTTTAAACAGCAATATGAATGATGTGATATCCCCAAATATGCATAGAGAGCAATAATGATGTTCTAGAGATGAAGATTAGATTGCTTGAATAAAGTTGTCTATATTTGTGGGATTTCAAGAGTTGTTGTGTTGCACGGTGTTAAAGCCAATATGTAGAGGTTCTCCCAAATAAATAATTCTTTCCTGCAGAAACTATTCTATCCACAGCACCGGGATGAAAATGACGTCACACTACGGAACCTGTGACCGGTGCTCTGTGCGTATATGTTAAAATATCCTGACAAACGTTTTCGAGCGTTCCAATCGCTCTTCTTCAGGTCAACTGAAGGAATTCCCCGGACGGAGTGTATATTATTCTCTAGGATCGGGTGTCGGTTTTGAGGGGGTGGGTCTCTTTCGGTGTGTGCAGTCGTGCGGCGGGGGGAGGAAGCGGTGGGTTGGCATCCAATAGCGATTGCCAGGCCAGAGACAAGGTTAGTTCCTCTTTCCGGTTAATGCAGGTAGTTAGCCGGTCGGCGTTGTGGATAGCCGCGGCTTCCAGCCATCTAAGCTGCTGTTGGTGGGGCGTGTTGACAATAATGGTAGCCTTCTCGAAGTGCACCTCGACTTCGGGGTCGGATGCATAAGTGGCTAGGGCTGTGGTCAGCCTGCCGTGCCGGATATCCGCTTGGTGTTCACGTAGGCGGGTGCTTAAAGAGCGTTTGGTTGAGCCGATGTACAGTAGCTCTGCGTTTTGTCTATTGTCATGGAGCGGGATAGAGTAGATACCGGGGAGTCTGGTGCGATCGGGAGGGTCTTTATCGTT